CGCCACAGGGCCCCTTCGAGAGGCAACGGCGCCTCCAGAGATGCTCCCACTGGCGGCGACGCCCACAGAACCCCTCTCAGAGACCGCGGCGCTCCCAGAGGGCGTCTTAGGTGCGAAGGCGCCCCCATGGCCTGTCCCAGTAAATTGGAGGTGAACCTTTCTGATCAGTTATTGTCTGGTATGTTATAAAAATTACAGTCATAAGGCCTCTGTGTTTTAATGTTAATATGAAATATTAGGGGAAGCCAAATGCCGAGTTATTGTGAGAAATGTAAAATGCAAATCAAACTTTTAAAATCTGTATCCCTCACGTTTCTCTTACAATGTTACGTCTTCACATAAACATCCCAAGGCGTAAAAAGGTTAGAAAAAGTCGAATTTTATGCCACATTTTTTATTCATATTTCTGTACAACACTGCGCCTTACACGTGACAAACACAAGCTCTCAGCACATCGCTCTAAGGTAGACCATCATGGTTAGGCCCACCACCCATAGTGAGCTCTTCGGCCATAATATTAAAACCTTGCTTTTGTTGGGTGACGCCCCAACCACAGCCTCAGTACACACAACTTTTGTTTTTCAGTATGTGGAGAGTGTTGTGGTTGGGGTGTTAACCAACAATAGTGTTCTTGAGTCCTGCCTGATATACTGTATTAAAGAACTAAGCACATTTGAGGGTGAACACACAATAGGATGGTCACGTTCTGTAAAACTTGTGTGATGATCCTTGGACTGACAGCCTCTCTGGGCAGTCACCCAAGTTTTTGGTTCAGAATATGACCACCCGGAGTCCTCAAACATGAAACACTTGCTTATTCTTTTGGGGGGAATAAGCTGGGCTGAGTCAGTTTTAACGGACACAGATTTACTGATTATATCAGAAAATCGATACAAAAATATGACAATCATATAACAATACGTAATTCTACACACAATATGGAATGTTAAGGAGCAAAATGAGATCCTTTTTTCAATATCAATTGGGAGTAAACTGAACACTGGATTGCAGTATAAAAACAAAATAGTACTGACCCTCTTAACTACTCAATTTTGTCTTCCAGATCTTAAATAATTTTTTCTCTACTTCCCTTTAAACTGTTTCCTATTATCTGTCTTCTAGTTTCTTCCTTTTTTTTTTAAATTTCCGCTCAGAGGCGGACAAAACTGACCTGACAAGTGAAACATGGGCTGACCTCACGCAAGACAATAAATAAAGTCCTAAACTATTAGTTACCGAATCCTTCGCAACACTCGTAGGCTAACATTGAGACTCACAACCGGGCTGAGAAGGAGGGCTGTTGGCCAGTGCGAGGCCGCTCAGAGAGTTAAGCTTCGCGACCACCAGCTCACTGAGGGAGAGGGAGCCACACAGTGAGATCATTTAATGCAGAAATAAAATTTACCACTGCGTACAGGTAATGTTGTCTACAGCATCATTATATTTGTTATTTATTGAATATTTGTGAGTAGTTTTGGATTAGATACTGAGACTTGAGATAACATGGATCTGAGAGAGCATTTTAAGTATATCTTACACCTCTTCCATGATTAATTGCATTGTACTCTCGTAACTTATGTTTTCTGTACAGGAGTATTATACTAATGGGACATACAAACATATGCGGGTAGCACTTTAACAACAGTACATTGAAAAACTTAAAATTATTCAGTATAGGTAGTGATAACATTAACGCAAAATATTACTTTTTAATCATCACAACGAAATAATCAAATATAATTCTATTATTTTTAACATATTTGTGATCACAAATTTGAATCTAACTACGAAATAATCTAACGTTTTTTTTTTCTTGGCAGTTTGGAAATTTTTGTTAATTCTGACTTTGATTTCGATTTCGAGGTGCAGTATAGGTAAGGCGGCGGTAATGTACTCACACCCTCCTCAGTTTCTGGTAGCCTCTGGTGACGAGCCCCATTGTACTAACACGGTATATATTCCTTATACCAGAAGAGGTACACGAGGTCAGGAAGGATATACGGAACTCCTAGACAATATATACCTAATTTGGTTAACGTGAACACAGACCCGGTAAATGTATATATATCTATATAATATAAATTGGCACTATGTTATTTATTATTATTAGTAGTAGTAATAGTAGTAGTAGTGTGTTGTGCAGAGGAAGCAGAAAAATCCGGTTGAGTGGTCACCCGTTCTTGACAAAACCTGTTTACCTTGTCTACCAGGCAGTCACCATCTAGTAGTGACCTTGTCGAGGGGGAAGGAAGCCGATAGCTTGTTAAGGGACCCCTTATATATCCTGATAATTTTACACCTACTACATACGGCCTTAGCGGTACATGGAAATTGTCATGAAGGACTTGTCTAAGAAATAATCAATGATGAATGAAGTATAAAATGGTTTCGTCTACTGTACACGATTTAAATTAGTTTCTATAAGCAAAAAGAAAAAAGTTTAATTACTACTCCACACTCCTATGATAATTGATCGGGTTAGCCAGTGCAACCGAATTCTTTCGGTATTTACCAGAATCAAGAACCAGAAGACACCAAGAGCTCCTCAAATACTCGGGCGCAGCTGTTTTAATTCTGCCTCCTTAGGATGGACTGATAGACAGTTAGGCTTTAACCTGGTGGTGGGGCGTTTCAAGGAGCCTGGGTCAGAGGACTTGTTGAAGCTTTCTGCCATCGTGGGACGAGAAAGACCTACGTCAGCCTGGGACTGCTGCTACCTAACCCCTTAAGAGGCTGAGAGTGGGAAGGGTTGACGTGCAAAACAAACACAAGAAGCCGGCAATGGGAGAGAGAGAAACAAGTAAAACTATCGGCATATTCGCTTATAAAATATGTTCAATATCAGTGAATTCAGGATAGTTCTCCGACCTTATGTTCTAGCCGCGGGATAAATCACAAGTAATATTTTTGGTTTAAAACGATTTTCATAATAATGAATTACAGTAGTTTAACAGCCATATATTTTTGACTGGATCATGATGTGCTGAAATAAACTAACTATAATTATTTGTTATATCATTATGTGCCTTCTAATTTCCTCAGTGCATATACTTGCAGGTATCGTTAATAGAAGTTAATTGTTCTGTGACATGAATGTGTTACGTGGAGAAACGATTGGATTATGATAACTAAGAATAATAATCGGTCATGTTTCATTTATCATGACAATTAAGAAATCTTATCACTGACGGTCACTCGTCTCTTAAACGCGTCTGGTAAGAGTATGAAGAATCTTAATAAACACTATTTACGTTTCTAAGGAAAATTTAATTTGCTTGAAGTAATAAATACTGTATCTCATTTGATACAAAGGTTCACTGGAAAGTAGACAGCATATCACTTACAACAGTCACAGAAGAACAAAAAAAAATATAATCTCACTTCACGTTATGAAAGCCAAATTTTAGGTGTCTTCCAATTTGAGCAGAAGACTGGATGAACACCACTTGAGCACAACAGCTAGACATTACAGAAAGAACGAGCAACGTGAGACGACGGTCGCTGGCAGTGCAGTGTTTTGTCCGTGTCTCTATACCTTTGAGATATTTACGAGAAGCTCAGAGATAACACAACCTGTATAGATGAAAGACAAGAGAAGTCTCCTCTGTGGTTGGCAGAGAAGTTATTTTCATGCTCCGTGAATATTGCTTCATGTTCTGAGTAAAATTGTTTTTACATAAGTAAATGATTTGCGTAGTTTTGTGTCGGGTGAACTTGAATATAGAAAAACACAGAGAAAAAAAAAGTTACAATGCACTGCACTTCTTGATTAGAATTGAATATCAGTCTACTTCCTTAGAGAGAATATCTAAATTCCACACTACATATAAATATAATGATATAAACAAGACTTTAAAGTAACTACTCAATACATAAAAAAAAATTGAAGAAAGCATTGGGAAAAAGGTATAACCAGTGCAAACTACAACAGAGAGCTGATAAAAAGGTCACTTACAAAATATTGACAAGACTTTGGCCAACCATCACCTTTGTCACTACATCAGTAATAGCTAATGGAATCCAATTCTCCTCCAGATATATAATAAATCCAACTCAGTTATGATCTACAATGCCACAACAGCAGTATCATTCCTACTCTGATCACATCGATTATCCCCAACATTATTTATCTTTTTTTTTTAGCAACAAAGAAAACAGATCCTTCAGAGGGAGTTACACACACACAACTCGGTGATGTCTGGTTGAGCCCAAGTATACCGGGAAGCGTCAAGCAGATTCTGGCATGGGCGGGCACTGAACCCACACAGCTTATTGTATATACACTAATATAGTCATTCTCTTACAAAACTATAGTAACAAAGATCTTCAACAAGTATATCACCGCTTCTCACTTTCATACTTACACACAAACTTATAAGCTAATGATATATATTATGCTAAAACCACAAATAATTAAAGCAATATTCGTATTTACATATTATTAAGCCTATTTTGTATATCATACAGTTCAGTCAATCATTAATATTAATGGAAATTAAAAAAAAACTTGCAGAATTGATTTCAACGGCGGGTTCTTGTACAAAAACCTCAGGGTGGCCACGTCATCAATGATAAAACCTAACTCATTAAGCTAATCTATAGAATTAGTAAAGTGGAATGCCGGAATAAGACGAAGCAAATATTCAGCTAAACCTAGCTTTATTTATTTACTAAAACTACGGTCTTTTATTATGTAAACACACAAGGTCTCTTTAAGATATAGTATATAAATTAGCTTTCAGCTTTGCATAATTTCTCTTACATGCATATTTGGAAACACATAATGATAACCTCTGCATAAACCTAACGGAAATATCTGAATCGAAAAGACTAAAAAAAGGTTTAAAAAGATAAACATTTGGAAGGCAGAGATGAGTCTAAGGTTGCTGACAAACATTGGGAGTGATGATCTGAGACGACCTGCAGACAAGTACCTGTACAAGGTTGACTCATTAACTAATAAGACCGAAAACTGATTGCATTCCTGTCTTCTAAAACTGTTTATACTGTATATATTAAAATTCCAATTACTGATAAAAAACTACTTCCAGCAAATCCTTAGTCCTCGGGAGTGATTCTTTGACTTCTTCACGTCGATTAAATAGAAATATCAACAAAAATACAAACTAGTTAAAGAAAATATAAGGCACGGGAAAATTCAGAAGAAAAATTTGGCTTGTGAGAGGGGTGGAGGTGGAGAGCTCCGTGTGTCGAGCGACCAGGGGGCCGCTCACACACCACCCAACTCTTGTGACAAAGAACAAGAGCGCAGTTTTGAGTCCTGGGACAGAATCCACTGAGTACTCCTAATTCGTGTCAGAAACGATGATGAGGGCGATCATCGTCCTTGTTATATGGCACTGTCGTGGAAGACACGTTCATCAATATAAAACAGGTATGTTGGCAAGATGATTGGCTCAGCATTGACGTCACACAATAACGGGTGGCGTTATTGCCATAAAGCAACAACAACAACAGCAAGAAAACACAGATTTGATCTGATTCCATAAAGTGTTTAGCGTGACCCTCAGTCATCAGAGATCAACTGTTAAACTCCTTCATTGTCACTCAATACTTGGGTCATTAATTCGTAACATAGGAAAAAACATTTTGAGTGAATTACCGAAAATATAAACACACAAAGAAGAGTGTAAAAGTGTATATATCTTTGTGAAGATAATCTCAATGTATGAATAAACATTTATTCTTAACTGAATTAGGCATTAGATACCCTGTAAACTGCATTATAGCTATGTCTTACTCATCGATTAGAATACATTTGATTTCATTAAGGCTAACGTACACACGACCACTCAGCAGCCTAGCGAGTGACTGACTCATCACCTACATTGGGCACCGTGGTCGTGGCGGGACATTTACTCTTATCTTAGTGCTTACAACAACCTGTGACAACATGTTGAAAATTTTTGTACAGTATTTTCACAGCTCATCTTAAGGCCTTAGAGTTAAGATACAGCAGCCGAATCTCTACCAAGAGTTTATGATCACAGCAAGAACACGAAAACTGTCGTATCAAGCTTCACCTACTGAAATTCCAGTCGCATGTTAATTCATGAGTCTCCTTTTATGATTTATGAATACCACCAGAGACCTATTGTCGCTGTGTTTGCTCCTGCCTTGTGTTGGCACCATGGACCAGAGCCATCACTGGGTGAAGCTGCACGCGTGAGTTCTGCTCTGCTAAGAACGTTTCGTCTTGGTAGATTCTTTTGTTTATATCTGTAAGGCACTGGTCTCACCGGGTGACGTCGCCTTCAGCGGAGCTTTTATGATAGACTAAACTACTAATCTTTTGGGCAGATGTTTGGGGAGAGCATCACCGGGGAACACAAACTAATCGTGAAGACTTGAGACTCTCCGGGCGACGGGCCGGCACAACTGTCCCATCTGACGGCTTCGCCTCGAATGAGAATGTTTCTCGCGACTCGTGATGACCTGTTTTTGTTTTTCTTCCAGCTTCCAGGCTAAAAGTTGGTGGAGGGAGCGGGTGCTCAGTGCTCGGCTCCCGTGAGCTCTATGAGCGTCAGGTCGTAGCTTTCGGCGTCCCTGTGCTGCACCTCCATCAGGAAGAGGTCTTCGTTACAGTAGTGGCGCAACATCTCGTCGTCCACCTTTGCCATCACGCTGCAAACAATAAAAGTGTTAATATACCCCTGACGAATTTACATAAAATACTAAGTAAGTAGATCTAAGAAAACACCGTTCAAAATGTACTGCAGTACGTTGTGTCAGGAACGTCTGAAATGTCTTCTTAACATTTTGTGATGAATATTAACATTACTCGTCCACGTCATCGATCCATTCATTACCTGTGTCTGTGTTGGCAGTCAAGTGATTTTCCAGTGATAATCTCGACTCAGCAAAACTACCTTGGGTCAATTAACTTGGTGGTGCATCGACTGCCTGTAGGCCTACATAATCCATCGATGATGGCGAAAAACTAAAAAAAAATTCTACAGTGACTTTATGATCATGATTATTTGCGTCACTCTAATTGGTCATGTGAAGAATAAAACTTACCCGACTTTGTTTTTCCTGTATATGTTTTTGATCGTTTGTGTTGGAATTTTGTACTTTTCCTCAATCTGTGAAAAGAGAAATATTGATAAAAGTTGATAAAATAGACACAAATAAACATACTAAACAAAACATACACGTTAATGTCTTGTTGAAATGTCATCCCAAAATAAGGTTAATGTTATCTAAATCACTCCCCAAAATTAAGTTAATTTCAGGTAACTATATTAAATAATGATTCAAAATAATATACAGGTTGCTAAAACGTACCTGTGCACCACCAGTAAATCTAATTATAATTAGTTACCTTGATTCACTTAGTATATATTGGATATGGTCACAGTAAATGTTGGAAGTAGATACCATAACTAATATTTATTGTAATATTTATTGTATATAAAAAGGCAGGTATAAGGAGGGATAACTATACTCTTAGTTATTATATCAATAATTATATCACCATCAGTAGTCTCAAAAAACATGAAATCCCATTATATATGTAGAGAAATTATCGGTAGTTATGTGAATCAAGAATAATTATAATCTTCCTGGGTTTTCACTCCATAAAAAGACTCCTTGGGGATGATTCTTAAAATTAAAGCTGATTTTATGTCTTTAGGATGATAGGTTGTGTATTGTTAGGTGAGGATGATGACTTGAGAGTGATAGTTTAACCCCGGGAGAGCAATAGTTAAAAAAGAATGGTCGATTAACACCTCCTAGATGTTAATTAACTTACCTTGAACGATGGTTTAACTTTCTGAAGGGCTAACTTATGTAAATCCTCGTCCTCAAAAAAAAATTAAATTACAAAGTTTAAAAGATATATTAAGGTATTTAAGGCTGAAGGCTAAATTTGAAAATGCTATATTATCAAGACTCGTAATTCTGTACATAAGAGATACGATATTTTCTTCGATAATGTCCAGGATTCTTAAAGGTTCGTAAGATTAAATTTTCCCCTTAAGGGACGATAAACAAAAGAAGTTTATTCATATGTTAATGGTCAACCACATATTAACTATAGGAATGTCGTAATTAAACTGATCCTAGGGAACTTATTTGAGGTTTAAATTTTCTTCTTCAACTTGGACAGAAAATACAGGTCATGTCTTTGAGAACCATTGTGTGGTGAAGGGAGGTAAACTGACCCAGAGGACGAGGACGTAACCGAGGAACAAATATTAATAAAATGATCAATTCGGCCAGGTTGCCCCAAATGAATAACAAAGGCAAACACTATGGGGTGCTGGTGGTGACAAGAAGGGCGTCTCTCAGTGTGTGTGCCACTGGACGCTGACTCACCGCTGAGCGGAGGCCCACGGTGCTGGGGGGGACGAGGTGGAGCGGGGTGTACACGTCTTCACCGTCCTGTCTGACGTACAGCATGAGACGCTCGGTGAGGGGCGGCGTGAGACGGGACCGCTTCGACACATGGGAGAACACGTCGGTCATGGGACTGTCCATAGACCCGTTGGGGAGTCCTCCACACGACAGCTCCTTTCTGGGGGCGTCCCTGTGAGGGGAGGATGGGCGTTTAGTTCCATGGTGTGTGGGGAAGGAACACTTACTCACTGCATGCTGAGTCAGGTCATGATGACTACCACTAACGATACTGCCAGTTGTAGAGAGAAATGTTGGTAAATAGAAAGCATTAAATTATATATACTGTTAAAAGGTTGGGTCAAAATATAATGAATAATTTCTATATAATTTATTTATTTTTATAAATATGATCAAAGAAATAAAAAAATTTCTAATGTTGTTGGTAAAGTTAATTAACAGAATGGTGACAGTATCGAGGCCAGTCAACAACGTTACTGTGACTGACTGACTGACTGATTACACGACCCAACATGACTGTAAAGCACAAAAACTGGACAACATTACGAATCAAAAATAAAACAGTGCTTAATATATCAACAACTATTCATATATATATATATATTAGGCACACACTAAGGTATATTACTACAAAAAAAAACTTCCTGTAATCAAATGCATTACTGAAGAAAAGTTATTTACACAACAACAAGACAAATACACATACAGATCATTATATAAAACAAAAGACAAACAAAAGCCATCTAACTAGACTAGTGTATCATACATCTAATAAATACAATCATGCTAATACAACAGTTATATTTGTTCAGAAGTTTACTGTATAAATTTCTCTTACAATGTAAAAAAAAAAAATGAAAGATGCTATAACGAAGAAAGAACAAATATAGGAAGATAGTGCTATGCCACTCGTAGAGTACAAGGGGTTCTCGCAGACAGACTTAAACAGAACTGTCTCAAGAACTTGCCAGAAATTTGGACAGAGAAGCGGGTGTTAAAGCTCTAAAGTGCACAGCAGTGATCTAAACTGCACACCAAAGCTCTAAAGTGCACAGCAGTGATCTAAAGTGCACACCAAAGCTCTAAAGTGCACATCAGAGATCTAAAGTGCACACCAAAGCTCTAAAGTGCACAGCAGTGATCTAAAGTGCACACCAGAGCTCTAAAGTGCACAGCAGTGATCTAAAGTGCACATCAGAGCTCTAAAGTGCACAGCAGTGCTCTAAAGTGCACATCAGAGCTCCAAAATGCACATCAGAGCTCTAAAGTGCACACCAGAGCTCTAAAGAGCACACCAAAACTCCAGAATGTACACCAGAGCTCTAATGTGCACACCAGTGTTCTAAAGTGCACACCAGAGCTCTAAAGTGCACACCAGAACTCCAGAATGTACACCAGAGCTCTAATGTGCACACCAATACTCTAAAATGCACACAAGAGCTCTAAAATGCACAGATGAGCTCTTAACATACACACTAGAGCTCTAGACTATACACACATCTTCTAACGTACACGCCAGTGACGTACTGTAGACCACATGTACACACATAGAAATGCCAGGATTAAACGTACACGGAAGATGTGATGTCTGTGAGGTCGTGCAGGTCTAGCAGTGGTACACACACAAACGTACACACATGCACACACGCACACAAGTACATAGTATGAAGTAAAAAGTCCACAGATGAATTATGTAAACAATAGTGGACAGATGTACAGGTGTTTACCTATATAGACAATATAAGGTATAGTGAACAGGTGTTAAAACTAACATAAAGTTACAGTGTACACTATGCAAGTGTTAAACTACCGTAAGGTATTGTGTACAGGTGTTAAAACTAATATAAAGGCACAGTGTACAGGTGTTAAACTACTATAAGGTATAGTGTACAGGTGTTAAACTACTATAAGGTATTGTGTACAGGTGTTAAAACTAATATAAGGTATAGTGTACAGGTGTTAAACAACTATATAAGGTATAGTGTACAGGTGTTAAACTACTATAAGGTATAGTGTACAGGTGTTAAAACTAATATAAAGGCACAGTGTACAGGTGTTAAACTACTATAAGGTATAGTGTACAGGTGTTAAAACTAATATAAGGTATAGTGTACAGGTGTTAAAACTAATATATGGTATAGTGCACAGGTGTTAAACTACTAATATAAGGTATAGTGTACAGGTGTTAAACTACACAGACGATATAGTATTCTCGTGTACAGGTAGAAGTAGCTAATATGTCTCATTAACGTGAAGTTTTGTGGCGACTTACCTTACAGTTCCAAGATTCAGCTAGAGAAGAGAAAAAACAATGTACATAGTGTTTATCTGTGAGGTGAGATACACAACTACGCACAAAGCAGGGGTGGGAGGGACGGAGGGAGGGAGGGAGGGAGGGGAAGCAGACCTTACCTGGTGCCATACAGGTATATGGATTCTGTAGGAAGCGAGTACCTGTCTGTGGATTAGGGAGAGTAAAAGGAGGGTGAGAGAGAGAGAGAGAGAGAGAGAGAGTGAAAGGAGGGGGAGAGTGTCTCTTGGTTGTGTGTGGGTGTGGGAGAGTGAGGGAGAATGTTTAAGGGGAATAAGAGGTAAGATTGATGTGGGATGGAGGAAGATTATTGTGAAGTAGAAAGGATAGGGGATAGGGGAGAGGAAAATCGTCAGAATGTAATGAAAAATAATAGTATTTACGTGAGATAGGAAATGAGATACTTTGGGATAATAGCGTAAACAGATGTTGAAATTCAGGGCTTCGATTGATAAGTGTCTTTTAAACTCTCAAGTATTTCCTGGAGTGAAGAGGAAGAGTATGCTATTCTATGTAAATATCAATACTAACTACTTACTCTAAGCGATATACACAAGCACAGAATATGTATGAGGGTTTTGGGGAGGCCAGAGGGAGGGAGAGGTAGAGGTAGAGGCCGGAGCTTGTAGAGGATGGGTGTCATGTGTGAGTGGTAAGGAGGAGGGGTTTGGGTCTGGGGATTTTTGTGTGATGAAAATACTCAAGGTCTTATATAGATGAGGAGGAATGTTTTGTGAAGTTGGTAGGGTGTGTGTGTGTGTGTGTGTGTGTGTGTGTGTGTGTGTGTGTGTGTGTGTGTGTGTGGTAATAGTAGTAGTAGTAGTAGTAGTAATGTAAGAGTAGATACACACATATGTTGCTAAGGTCTCGGTTTACGAAAGAAACAGTGAACAGAAGAGATGTGGAGCGTCGGGGGGCGTCTGTGTTCCCGTGGTGTTGAAGGTAACTGTATGAGACAACTAGCCCCCCATTTACTGTGTGTACTGGAGGTCTAAGTCTTGGTCAGTGTGGGTCTGAGACATTGGTTAACGAGTCAAGATTCTTCCAAGTTAATGAACACAAAGTGAGGTGTTAAGTGGTGGAAGTTCTGAGGAGTGTGGATGTGTGGAAAGGAACTGACACTTCAGGTGGGAAAGTGAATTGTTATGGTCCCGGTTAGTGGTGGGCGAACATGACACACACACATACACACACAGAGGGGGGGGACGTTAGTTATTACAGCCCCAGTTAGTGTGGGCGTGGGCGGACTAGCGCGTGTCTTACCCATAGGGTTGTGGGAAGCTGTAGTGGAACTTGTAGCTACTGCTGTTGGCTTTTGGCGAGACGGCGGTGGGCGGGGGGACCTGTAGAGGTGCTAACTGGGTGATAGTTGTTGTGGTGGAGAGGATGTTGGAGGAAGGTGGAGGAGGCGGGGGGAGAGGTGGAGGTGGTGGTGGGGGGTCGAGGCTGTGCGGAGGGGACATGCAGCGTCCTGGGGTGGTGGGGAAGCCGTGCTGAGGGGAGAGGTTGGAGGGGGACGAGCATTCCACTCCTACAGCCCCCGCCACGCCAACGCTGCAGCCACTGGGGGGGAGAACACACGTCACCATACGCCTCACCTCTACCACCTCGCCCTTCACCTGACACTCATCTGCTACACCTGGATGCTTGCCACGAGGCATTTCTCAAGAATTCCAATTAAGAAGCTTTGTTTATCACGATCACTCAAGCACCTGAACAACAAGTAAATCCAGGGAAGGTACACAAACTCAATCCAACTACCAGATGAAATAAACCTCACCACTATGTATATTCTAAGTCCGAATTTATCATAGTGTATCATGGTATAAATAATCTGGTAAGAACAGAGTCATAGCGTATCCGTCACTCCTGGAAGTAACTGCAGTAGTCACTTTTGTCAGCCATCAGCTTACAGATAGGGTTTTCAATCACAACATCCATAACCATCTCTTTCCATCAAACGCTGTAACAACTACCCTTCCTTTTTCGGATATGAGATTAATTTTGACGTCACATGTTGTATACATCCAGGTGAGGCAAGTGAGGGAAGTGAGGGCTGAGGCAACGGAGCAAGTCTACTGTCCTCTCTGCAAACACCCATTGATCTAGAGCACAGGAAATATGGGGTAACATTATTGGATTCAGCATCAGTTTTCAAGCTCAATTTACCACTGCCTGGCTTGGTGTCTGAAAATAAACATACTTAAATATACTTTTCTCTCTTTTTTTTTTGATCTTTGCTGTGATTTTCAGATCCTAAACAGTGACAATCAACTACAAGATTATAATCAAGATAAACAAGAAAATGTTCTTGTTTTTACTGTGACAGGTTAACGAGAAGTGAACACACACACACACACAGCACAGGCAGTAGCGTCATTAATTACTATACTGCCACTCCCTGCATCATCAGAACCAGATATATACTTGAGTCTACACCTTGCATTAGCCAATTATCTCTGCGTGGTTAACAACGAATCACAGAGAACGGCTGGTCGTAAGTTACGTGCTAAAAACATGCATCATGCAGGTGCCATGGGGAGGGGACAGAGAAAAGAAGGAGGGAGAGATGAATGGCTGAATAAGAACAAAAATAAGGTCAAATGTAGAGAAGAACTGACGCTATCCATCTATATTTGAGCACCATTATGCCTATCTAACACAGCCTACACTGACTTCATCGGAAACAACACTACTGTCATGATATTTTTGGGTAGGCCTAAGTTTACCTGTGATAAGCATAAATTAGTATTATTTCCGACGTCTACATCCTAAAACCCGGCAGCTTCGCACTTGTGCAAATTAATAGTACTCTTGTGAGATATTGAGAAGTACGAAAAGAGAAAAATCGAAAATACTCACCCATTCTCAGAGTCGTGATTGTAAAACCCTTGTAGTTCCATTGGCATCTAAGGAGAGGAGAATTATTGACATTAACACGACAATACATGGTGTAAATAAAACAATAAACAACTTGTATTTTAACAATTTACCCCCCAAAAACAAACAACTTCAGCTTTCTATATTAACGTGAGAGAGAGAGAGAGAGAGAGAGAGAGCTAACCACAAGAAAGGCAGTACTATCTTTTACCTTATCCAAGTCTTCAGCAGGAGTGAACAGGACGGGCGGCTTGGCAATATCGAGCATGGAGTAGAATTCAGAGCGGTCACAGGGAGGATGATATAGGTCCTCGTACTTCTTGCGTGTGGTGGCTGCCATTCTTCTCTTAGCTGCGCGTCTTTCCTCGTCTCTTGTCTTCCTCTCTGCTCCCTGTTATGGTGATAAGTGATGGTTTTAATGCTGCTGCTGTTGTGATGCGCATGGTGGGGTGGGATGTTGACAGTGGTGGTGGGCTGGGGTGGTGAGAGTGGTGGTGTTGGTGGGGTGGGGTGGGGTGGGGTGGGGTGGGGTGGGATTGGGTGGAGTGGAATGTGGTGATGTTTGTGTGGTGGTGAGAGTAATGGTGTTGGTGTGGTGGTGAGAGTAATGGTGTTGGTGTGGTGGTAAAAGTGGTGACATTGCTGGTGTGATGGTGAAAAGAATGGTGTTGTGGTGATGGTGAGATGGTGACACTAATGGCATTAGTATGATGATAAGACTGGGGTTATAGTGTAGGTGAATATAGTGTTTGGTCGTGGTTATGATGACTATAGGTAAGATACGGTAGTGATATAGTGACATAGTTATAATGCTGATAATGAGACACTATAGTGATGGTAATGGAACTTAATGGTGAATGATTATATATATACTATGTTGAACATGATGATGGTGGTGATGCTTACAGATTTGGATGATGAAGATTCTCAAGTACATTACATATTGGCATCACTTGGCACCTCTTGGCACCACTTGGCACCTCTTGGCACCTCTCCATAAGGCACAGTACAGCAACAGGCTCAGTAAATCAGTGTGACAAGCCAAACAATATTAAAAAAACATTCTTCCCGTTTGTATACTGCACATTCCTTTTAATCCCTTCAGTACCATGGCATCTTCTTGAGTACTATGACATCTAGTTGAGTATTGTGACATCCTGAGTACTAGGATATCTTCTTGAGTACTGTGACATCTTCTTGAGTACTATGATATGTTATTGAATACTGTGACACCTTCTTGAGTACTTTGATATCTTCTTGAGTACGATTACATCTTCTTGAGTACTATGACATCCCTTTGAGTACTGTGTCGTGTTACTCAAGGGGTCAGAATCGTTCTCAAGGGGTTGCCATCTTACTCAAGGGATTAAATCATCTTACTCAAGGGTTAATGGTAATATCGCCATCATATGCCCATAGAGTCTCAAACCTTCCTTGTTAAGTGAAGGGTTTCTGATCTCCATAAGATAATCTAACCTTTTTAAGTGGTCTTTTCCCGTTCTCGTTACTCGTGGTGAAAAGACTAAGTAAAAAAACCCACACACTAGATATATTGAATAGCTGGACTTTTATTTGTGTTGTCTTAATTCGTATTGGAAAAGTTTTAACACAAGTAAAAAAAATAATTGATTATCTTATCTCTTGGGAAAAGAGGTAAAATAAAAGACGAAGAATCAGATAACAAATAATAAAATAATATTAAATCTATTTATATGTCAAATCGAGATGGAAGAGAAAGAAAGAGAGGGAGGGAGGGAGGGATAATTACCTTGTCACAGAAGACCTTAATCTGGCAATAGCCGCGATGGACCAACGTCGCTGAGTCTCTGGGGTCTTCGTATGTGTCCACCTGGATGTGTAGAGGCAAACCCTGGAAACAGAAATGGAATATTAGTGTCCATCTGTGACTTGTTATGGGGACAGTTGGCAGGCATCATGGAGGGAGGTGGTGAACTTGAAGGGGTTAAGAAACTTGAAGGAGGTAAAAAACTTGAAGGAGGAAGCATGAGGGTCACTGTTACCAATAGCATTCAGTCATTCATTAACAGTAGCGAGGAGCAGTTAACATGTTCAGCGTTCCTTGTGTAGTAACGAGGCGTGGTGTTCCTTTCTTTGGGTCACACTGGCAAGCAACGGGAGTTAGTGAGAGTTGCTTTCTACTGCTTCTTGTTGATAATACTGTTAGAACGTACGGAGCAAGGAGAGCACTGACTATGAGAGAGAGAGAGAGAGAGAGAGAGAGAGAGAGAGAGAGAGAGAGAGAGAGAGAGAGAGAGACGATTCTGGTTATGAAATGAAAGTGAACAACAAATCTCTCCCTGTATAAATATTAACCCTCGTTCAAAAGTGCGTAAGCTCATCAGACGGCAACAAATAATGTGATTAGATGTTTAATTTACACGTTGATGTACTGTTGGTGGTGATAGTGATAATGTTAGTTAGTGATATTAATTGTAATGGTGATAGTAGTAATAATAAATGATGGTTATGGTGGTTGGTGATAATAATATTTGTGTAGTAATAAGTTATAATGACGGTAGAGTTACAATGAAGAAGAAGAACGGTTAAAATGACAAAATATCGATTACAGTGGAAAAAAAAACCCACGACAAAGTTACAGACAAGTTATGGGACCTATTTATACCTACACTGTTGAAGACAGGATAAAAGATATACACTAACTTAGGGGTTAGTTAAGACTCTTGTTACAGGTAATAGGAACAAGTGGGCAGTGTCATTGTGCTGTGTGTATGGCAAAGATAGTTATAGGGGTGTTAAGTGTGTGGTAAAGATAGTTATAGGGGTGTTAAGTGTGTGGTAAAGATAGTTATAGGGGTGTTAAGTGTGTGGTAAAGATAGTTATAGGGGTGTTAAGTGTGTGGCAAAGATAGTTATAGGGGTGTTAAGTGTGTGGTAAAGATAGTTATAGGGGTGTTAAGTGTATGGCAAAGATAGTTATAGGGGTGTTAAGTGTGTGGTAAAGATAGTTATAGGGGTGTTAAGTGTATGGCAAAAATAGTTATAAAAATAGTTATAGGGTGTTAAGTGTGTGGTAACGATAGTTATAGGGGTGTTAAGTGTGTGGTAAAGATAGTTATAGGGGTGTTAAGTGTATGGCAAAGATAGTTATAGAGGTGTTAAGTGTATGGCAAAGATAGTTATAGGGGTGTTAAGTGTATGGCAAAGATAGTTATAGGGGTGTTAAGTGGGTGGTAAAGATAGTTATAGGGGTGTTAAGTGTATGGCAAAGATAGTTATAGAGGTGTTAAGTGTGTGGTAAAGATAGTTATAGGGGTGTTAAGTGTATGGCAAAGATAGTTATAGGGGTGTTAAGTGTATAGCAAAGATAGTTATAGAGGTGTTAAGTGCATGATAAAAATAAAGTGTTTGTTTTAAAAGTGTTAAGTACATAGACAAATGCTTATCCAGAGAGTTAAGTGTTAGGCGAGGAAAGTTAAAGTGTCTGGTTAAGTGTCTGTAAAAAGTAATAAATGCATTACTCAGGCGCCCTCATTCTACGATAATAATTACAAGCAATCAAGTTAAGGTAATGAAATGTTAAGTAGGAGTTATTAGTCAGGTAAGTTTAGGTGTTAATCAGGTATATCCACTTTATGGTAAGGATAGGTGAGGTGGTAATCAATGGAGATCAGAAAAAAAGAAGCAACGTGTTAATCAGAACAGGTGGCTTATAATCACGAAATGGCAAGAATTGATGAGGTGATAATCAGAACAGGTGATAATCAGGAGTATATGCCAAGAACAGGTGACGTGTTAATCAATGCAGGTGGGGTGTTAATCAGTGCAAGTGGGGGATGTTAGTTAACTATGGCAAGGACAGGTGGGGTGCTAATGAGGACAGGTGAGGTGTTATTCAGTAGAAGTGGGGTGTTAATCAGAACAGGTGGGGTGTTAATCAAGACAGGTGGGGTGTTAATCAAGACAGGTGGGGTGTTAATCAGCACAGGTGGGGTGTTAATCAGTACAGGTGGGGTGTTAATCAGAACAGGTGGGGGTGTTAATCAGCACAGGTGGGTGATAACAAGGACAGGTAGGGTATTAATCAGTGCAGGTGGGGGATGTTAGTTAACTATGGCAAGGACAAGTGGGGTATTAATCAGCACAGGTGGGATGATAATGAGGACAGGCAGGGGTGTTAATCAAGACAGGTAAGGAGGGTGTTAATCAAGACCAGGTAAGGAGGGTGTTAGTTAAGGGTCTATGGCAAGGACAGGTGGCCATGCTGGGTATAATAGCGGCCCTATATATGGTCACCTGAGTATGCAGACCAAGTGGCTTGGAGCGGGGTGAAGGGTGGTGGTGTGGAAGGGGGGAGAACACCTCATACGTGTCCACCTGAATGTGCAGCGGCGGACCCTGAAAGATACGTGGAGGTGAGATGGGAGATGATGGTGGAGTGGTGGTGATCGTGGTGGTGGTGGTGGGAGATGATGGTGGAGTGATGGTGAAGGTGGTGGAGATGAGGGATGATGGTACGGTGGTGGTGGAGGTAGTGATGGCGGTGGAGGTAAGATGGTGGTGGTGGTGAGATGGGGGGGGGTGATGGTGAGGTGGTGGTGGTGATGGATTATGGTGATTTGATGGGGATTATGGTGACGATGGTGTGTGTGGTAGTGGTATTTGAGATACTGGTAGTTGTAAAGATGCATTATAGTGGTGATATTGGATAATGATGATGATGATGATGATGATGATGATGATGGGGCGACCGACAAAAACCATTATGGGAGATCAGGACGAAGGATAGCGATCATGGTAGGGGGAGGAGGAGGAGGAGGAAGAGGAATGGTAGAATTATGGGAGGGAAGAATGGTAGGGGGTAAGACATGGAGAATGGTAGTTAATGGATACAGAACAGGCGAGGAGATACTAATAGGGGTTAATGGTGATAGGGGTGATGGTGACGTATGGCTGGTGATAAGAAAGTAATGGTGATTAATTGATGTCCACTTTAAGGGTGAGTGATAATGAGGATGGAGGGTGATACTGGAGGTGTTAATTGGTGTTGGGTGATAATTGGGATGTGGATGACGGTGATGGGTGACAGTAGGGGTGTGGATGATGAAATTAATGATGAGTGTGGTGAAAGCAATGATGGGCATGGTGTCGAATTGAGGCAATGAATTGGTAATGGTGACAGTGATGATGATAATGGTGACAGTGATGATGATAATGGTGACAGTGATGATGATAATGGTGACAGTGATGATGAAGATGAGGATAATGACAGAAGAACTGAGTGGTAGGGACGGTAAAGAGAAGCATTTCTGGCAAACTGTCAACCGCTCTAAGTAAGACTGTGTGTGTGTGTGTGTGTGTGTGTGTGTGTGTGTGTGTGTGTGTGTGTGTGTGTGTGTAAGTGTGTGAATGAGTCATGGCTAAAGTAAAGATTGGTACAGCAGGTAGGTAGGTAAATAGGTAGGTAGTCATATAAGTAGGTAAGTAGGTAGGAGGTAGGTAATTAGGTATGTAGGTAGGTTTTAGGTAGGTAGGTAGGTAGGTAGGTAGGTAGGTAGGTAGGTAGGGAGGGAGGGAGGAAGGTAGGGAGGCAGGGAGGCAGGCAGGTATGTAGGCAGGTAGGGAGGTAGGGAGGGAGGCAGGGAGGCAGGGAGGCAGACAGGTATGTAGGCAGGTATGTAGGCAGGTAGGGAGGTAGGGAGGGAGGCAGGGAGGCAGGCAGGTATGTAGGCAGGTAGGGAGGTAGCAACATGATTGTCTGCAAAGAGGTGGGGTGAAAGGAATAGGTGGTGGCGCAGTATTGGAAGATCCCCCACAACAATGAACCAATTAATGTACACAACACTACATGGACCTCAGGCTGATGTCATTCATAATAATAATAATCATAATAATAAATAATAATAATAATAACAACAATAATAATAATAATAATAATAATGTTATCAAAATCCATCGAAAAGTCTGAGGGTCCAAAAAAAAAAGATTAAATTTGTATCTCCATTTTTGTTTTTGTTTTTGGGTGGGAAGGAGGTCATTGGCCTTCCTGTTGACCTTCGTACCCCTGAAGGTGACATTCAGGTCTAAAGTGAGTCTTCTAGCCCCTCAGGGATCTTCCAGTAGAGGAGGGAAAGACGCACAAACAAGGAGAGAAGGACGGCAACAACTGCGTTTATTGTTCTTGCTGGCGGTGATGAATGTGAAGGAATAATGTCTGTGATAGTCAGTGTGTGTGTGTGTGTGTGTGTGTGTGTGTGTGTGTGTGTGCGTGTGTGTGTGTGTGTGTGTGTGTGTGTGTGTGTGTATGTGTGTGTGTGTGTGTGTGTGTGTGTGTGTGTGTGTGTGTGTGTGTGTGTGTGTGTGTGTGTGTGTGCGTGTGTGTGTGTTGCGTTCTTATGGGATTGTAGTTAGACGTTTAAGAGAAAGAAAAAGACCATAAGCGTTGTGTTGTGTGTGAGTGGGTAGGTACTGTTTACATGCAAAATGCCCAATGTTAGAAAAGTCCAATGAAGAGGACCGCTAAACACAATTTTTTTCTTCTTCAGGGAACATGAATCTTTTAATCTCAACCAAACTTAACCAAAATAAGGAGAACAGTGTTAAGTTAGGTTTGGTTAAATCCATGTCTCTTGCTTCTAAGAATATATAGTTATATACACATGAATAGTTTAGCGGTTCTGTCCATGGTACATTTCCAACATTGGCTGTCTTGCAGGCTCCAGCCTTGCATGCACATACGTATATAATCAATAAAAACAAAACTACTAAGCGTATCATATAGACATTGCTCACCCACAGGAGGACAGACACAACTGGCGGGGAAAAATTAACAGAACTTGTTTACTATTGACTGAGCACTGCCCCCTGTTAGCGTCCTCAGCAACCATCGCAAATCGTGGGAGTTGATTGGTTGCTGGTTGCTAAGTGAGTTGCCAAGTGTTATAATAAAGTTTATTTACAGTTATCAGCTGACGTACAATTAAGAGATAGAGAGAGAAAGATAAGAGCAGAGTTGGTAATAACAAGAGATGAAGCACAAGGCCGGTAAATATGGAGTAGAGGAGGTTGAAGAAGACAAAGAAGAAGATGGAGAGATATTGCAGAGAGGAAAATGAGAGAGTTGGGAATAACAAGAGAGTAAGAACAGGGCCGAATACTGTGATGAAGAAAGACCCTAAAATAAATGGAGAATAAATAAGGTACAAAAGAAGACACAAGAAGAAAGAGGAAGACAATGCAAAACAAAGAAACAAAATAAACAGTGTTAATATAAAAGGAACTATCTAAAAATATTAAAATCATGATAAAAAGAGATAAAGGGAAGAATAACGAGATAGTGTGTGTGTGTGTGTGTGTGTGTGTGTGTGTGTGTGTGTGTGTGTGTGTGTGTGTGTGTGTGTGTGTGTGTGTGTGTGTGAGTGTGTGTGTGTGTGTGTGTACGACAACAATAATCACGTACACATTATGTAGCTTACCTCCTTATCTAATGCCTTTTATCTCTCTCTCTCTCTCTCTCGGAGGGAAATCTTATGATAATTATTAATTTTGTTGTTCTCCTACGTGCTTCTATCTCATTATCACTCTTATCTCTCTGCAATACACCATCTTGGGCCTTTATCATTATCTCTTCCATCCTGTCTCTCGTCTTCTATAAGCTCTTAGATCTTCTTTGTTTTGAGTCTCTCTTCTTGACCGCGAGATCTCTTTATTTATCTCTCCCTTTACTCTCTATTTCTGTTCTCTTTATCTCTCAGTCTCTCTTCTTCCACTCGTCCTCTGATTCTATCTCTCTCTTCTCCTACTCGTCCGCCGTCTCAACCACTCTTTTCTCCCACTCGTTCTCTGTCTCTTAGTCTCTCTCTTCTCCCACTCGTTCTCTGTCTCTCATCTTTATCTCTCTCCTCCTCCCTGATGTCTCCACAATTACTATCCTGTCATGTCTTTTACACCCACGAGAGCACCGCCTACTGCTGCCTCCGTGTACAGTCATGACTCTCTCTCTCTCTCTCTCTCTCTCTCTCTCTCTCTCACTCGCTCCTTTCCTCTCTCTCTCACTTCACTACCAGACGAAGAAAGCAAATCGTATCTTATGGTCCTGGGGTTATTATTACCGTGTGTGTGTGTGTGTGTGTGTGTGTGTGTGTGTGTGTGTGTGTGTGTGTGTGTGTGTGTGTGTGTGTGTGTGTGTGTGTGTGTGTGTGTGTGTGTGTGTGTGTGTGTCCAGAACGCTCTCTCCTCCTTATATTCTCTCTGTTTTAATCTCTGTAATTTTCCTCTTCTCTTCCATCTTTCTCTTTGTCATTCTCTTTACCACTTTATCCTTCTATCTCCTTATTCGTTGATGGTTAGTTCGCTTTTTGTCTTTGAGTTTCTTCACTTTCTTTAGCGAAACAACAGTCACTCGTTACCTGTTTGTTCGTTGATGTAATTCGGATACACAAGACATATTCATTCACAAACATACTAATCCGGAGTCATTGTTATCCGAGAAATTATTTAGTTGAAGATATAACCATCCGAAGACATATTTACCCGAAGGTTTATTATCCGAACACTGATTTAACCGAAAAAAAAAATACTTATCCGAATATCAAAGTTGATTTTCCTGGGAACGTAAAAGATCAGATGGTATATACACACTAGGTGGAGGGAAACAAACGCCTGTTGTACCATTCCCTTGACAGATAGACAGATACTTACTAGACGATCATCATCTCTCAGGATGTAATAACGAGACATAAGATCCGTAGAGTAAACAGCTGTAGTTAGGAGATGGTCGGTGAGGGAGGTCGGTGTGTGGAGGTTGAGACACCGCGTCAACCAGTGGGTGTGGCCCTCTGCTGGACGTGGGCTTTTATGACCTCCCCTGTGTCCGTATGCTTGCACTCTGACCGCTCCACATCGCACGGAAACCCCATCAAAACACCCCCAAACGCGATCAATTATCTCAGTGTTTTATATAATCTCTATATATTGAGTGACTATTGACTTCCTTCGACTCTAACTCCAGTAATTATCGAAGGTATCTCACCTACCCTGACGACAGGTATGGTAGCGTGTGCAGGAACGGGACACAGGCGACTTCCAGTTTTAAAGAAATTGCAACTGGGGTCAGTGGCGGTCACCCAAAGTGTGGTCTTCAACACATTATTCTCTATTTTACGGCCAGAGTTTAGACAAACGGGCTCTCCTCACCCCACAACACCGCCTGTGACCTAAGTACCATGACAAGGAGTACACGACCCCTCACACTCCACCTGTGAGACCGCAAACATTTTTTCTCTCTCTCCATCTGCAGCTTAGTCTTTAGTGCTGTTCTCTTTATACATAATCTCTTCTTCTCTTTCTCTTATTTTATCTGTCGTTCTCTCTTTCTCTTTTTAAAATCTCGATATCATTCTCTTTATTTCTCATTTTATCTGCCTCTCCTCTATCTTCTTCAACCTAATTTTCTTCATCTCTATAACATTCTTTTACCGTTCTCTACCCTTTAAACGTCAGTGTCTCTCTCTCACACCTTCTCTTCTTTAGTTGAAAATAGCCTCACATTTACGTTACGTTATCACAATGGACACTTAAATACGGAGTCCTTAGAGAGAAAACAAATCTGGGAGGATAGTTAAAGAACGCTCATGTACGTTTATAGTGGAGGGCAGTGGTCGCCAAAGATACACATATATACACACACACACACAAACGTTGACTCCATACACACAAATTAAGAGCTGACTCACGGACGAGCATCCATCCTTTGTCGCTGATATTAAGCATCAATCAATAATTTCCACGCAACATGATTTTCTTGTTAAAAATAACCGGGATTATCTTGATCCAGTGTGTAATTTTAGGTCATCAAGACAAAGGTTAGAGAGAGAGAGAGAGAGAGAGAGAGAGAGAGAGAGAGAGAGAGAGAGAGAGAGAGAGAGAGAGAGAGAGAGAGAGAGAGAGAGAGAGAGAGGTCATAACTAGTAAGAACAACAAGAAAAGAAGAAGACGGGAAACAAGAATAAGGAGAATAAGAACAAGAAGAAGACAAGCAATAACATAAACAAGAAGACGAAAAAAAGAAGAAAAATGCTAAAATAATTGACACAGTTATAATACAACAGACATGAAGATAATGATGTCAGCAGGTTGGAAAAGGCAAACAAACCACTACACACTGTCCAAGTTTACTGATCAGGCCCGTCTTGATATGTCCGGTAGCCATATTGGACACTGTTTAGAGATATTTCAGTGGTTATAATATCCTAAGCCATATTGGAAATCGTTTTGGGACATCTCAGATATTGTGGTATTTAAACCATATTGAACATTTTTTACGAACACTTCAGGATTTGTGATATTTTGACCTCAGTTGACGAACAAAAGGTCAAAGATCATTACACGTAACTAACCTATAGACAAGTCAAACACTTTCTCTAACCAATCACATGACCAATATTTATCTAATGACAGTCTTGAGGTCTTTAATTGGTCAGGAATATAAACTAAGCAAATGACACATCACATAATTATCTTAACACCAGTGAGGTAAATTATGATGAAGAAAATATGGCAGTGAATTTATCGATCTGGCAACACGACCAATCTATACCAAGCACTAAGCCCGTGGGAGCTATAACCAGTGTTCCATATCCAGAAGGAATCTAAACTCCCATTATTTATCTTCCAATACCATCAATAACATCCCTTTAACTCTTGTTGTTGTCATAAAACGTCGACTTTAATTGCCATATCTTATAGACTTAAAAACCCATCGAGCTGTTCAAGCATTTGTTCAATGAGGTTCAATAAACATAAACCTCCTTCTAGTCTTAACAGTATATCAAGACATTCCTGATTAATAATATGAGTTAAGTGACAGTAGTGAGTTTGTTTCTCTCGACCAGGCAGCAGCATAGTGTGGAGCCAAGAGATATATGTGATTATCTCTCTACTCCACACTAGACACAGCATTAGTTATCTTACCTTAACTCCTTTCTGGCTACTGAAGTCTGTACTTAAACACTGGATGGCCACGTTGATCTGAGGAGAGAGATAAACCATCTTAGTATATATATATATATATATATATATATATATATATATATATATATATATATATATATATATATATATATATATATATATATATATATATATATATATATCACACTAATAGTAATAGTGATTAATAATAAGGTTTCTATTTTTGTGTGTGAATATTTTGTTGTTATTGTTTTGGGTATTATATCTTTTGTAATCTGTTAGGTTAGGTTAGATCATGGGTAGGTTAGTTACACCAGGAGTAAGTTAAATCACGGCAGGATTAATGCAATTTGGTCGAATTAGGTTAGGTTAAATTATGTACTGTTAAGGTAGGTTAGGTTGGGTTAACTTTCTCATCTGGGTCCGGAAATTACTAATTCCTCTCTACTGTATACGCATCCATCTAAAAACAATTACAGGTACCACCTTTGTGATATAATTTTATAGAGCGTGAAATTATGAGAACGCTGTTACGTGTACCAACTCTTAACAATGTGGAAAATATATATCTTATTTTATCGCGTCGTTTTTGTCGTAAATATAATCACATGGCCTCCTAGTGCCTCCCAGTAGCGCTTACTGTAGACGGGGGATGAGGAGCACTCTCTGAGCACCATAACTTGAAGGGTTTATTCAAGGGGTTAAGTCAGTGTATTCAAGGGGTTAAGTCAGTGCATTCAACATTCAAGGGGTTAAGTCAGTGTATTCAAGGGGTTAAGTCAGTGCATTCAACATTCAAGGGGTTAAGTCAGTGTATTCAAGGGGTTAAGTCGGTGTATTCAAGGGGTTAAGTCAGTGTATTCAAGGGGTTAAGTTGTCGTAAGGATGGGAATAAGTTATAATTTTCAAAAGGTTTAAGTTATGAATTAAATCCTTCCAAGGGTTAAGATGTGGTAAACTAGGGATTAAGTCGTTCTATACAAGGGGTTAAGCTATGGGTTGTTGTCTCTCACTCAAGGGTGTTAAGTCACACTTGAGAGAATTCCCTCATACCACTCGAGTGTGTTAAGGAGTACCACACATGCACAGAAGTTATGTTCTACCACTTAGAAAGGTTAAGTTATTCAGAATATTCAAAGAGGAAGGAGCCGTCCCACTCAAGAGGAAGAAGCCGTCCTACTCGAGAGGAAGAAGCCATCCCACTCAAGAGGAAGGAGCCGTCCCACTCAAGAGGAAGGAGCCGTCCCACTCAAGAGGAAGAAGCCGTCCTACTCGAGAGGAAGAAGCCATCCCACTCAAGAGGAAGGAGCCGTCCCACTCAAGAGGAAGGAGCCGTCCCACTCAAGAGGAAGAAGCCGTCCTACTCGAGAGGAAGAAGCCATCCCACTCAAGAGGAAGAAGCCATCCCACTCAAGAGGAAGAAGTCGTCCCACTCAAGAGGAAGAAGCCATCCCACTCAAGAGGAAGAAGTCGTCCCACTCAAGAGGAAGAAGTCGTCCCACTCAAGGGAGACAAATCATCAATCATACTTTAGTTAGTTAAGTAATCCCCAAGCCCCCTTTAGTCCCATATAAGGGTGTTCAGTCATTCCACTTTAAGGGCTCAACCAGTCCCCAAACCTCCTTGATCCCACTCAAAAGTGTTAAAATCGTCACATATTTAAAAGGAGAGTTAAACACCCTCTAAACTCCCTTATAAGTCAAAGGGTTTTAAAACCTTCTTCCACACGAGGGTGAGGTTACGTACTCCCAGGGTCGCTATCAGGGACAGGAAGGAGGCGGAAGATGTGTGTGATGAAGGATGGACGACGTGAGGATATGGCGAGGTGAAGTGTGACCAATTAGACGCTGGTACGGGGAGAGGAGGGAGTGTGTGTTACCTGCCCCGTGATGTTGATTGTGTTTGGAAGGTGAAAGTCTAACCCCACCGTATTAGTGATTTTCTCTTCCTGGATAGTAATTGACATACTATACCCGCTTAATGTTGAATCGAGGGTAGATAGGCTTTACTCTCTGTGTCTCTCCTCCCTCCTACCCCCGGCTTGTCTCCTGGTACACCTGTTTATGATTCATTTCACGGCTTGGTGAATCTGGTAATAGCTTAGTGTGTGGGTTGGTGTACCTATTATTGGGTTACTGAGTTGGTGAACCTATTATTAGAGTATCGTGTCTTGGGGTGCACCTATTACGAGATTACTAAATAGGTCTGTACACCAGTTATCTAGTGCATAGTAGCTAAACCAAGTAATAGTTTTATTGTACAGCGAGTTGCATTTAGTAAGCTTTATTGCATAGCTAGTTGTACCCCAGTAATAGATTAATGCATAGCTAGTTACGCTCAGTTATAGTTCATTGCATTGCTACTTACTGTACTGCGTAGCTAGTTGTATTTAGTATACATTGCATACCTCGCTGCACCTGGTAATAGCCTTTTAAGTGGAGACAAAATCATGTTTGATAGCTGCCGGACTTAATGCACTGGTTGGGCTTCAGGTAGGCAGTACAAGGTGGTGAAAATATGGTACCGAGAGAGGAAGGAAGGAAGGAAGGTGAGAGAATATGAGTAAAGAAGGAGGAAGGGGGGAGGGAGAGAGTGTAAAGAAGGAACGAGTGAGATTGAGAGAGAGAGAGTGGGAAGGAGGAGGATAGGAAAGGGGAGGGAGGGAGACAGGCAAGCAGTACACACACACACACACACACACACACACACACACACACACACACACACACACACACACACACACACACACACACTTTACGAACCTTCCCTAGCTAAAGACTCTAGACAACCTGGCCCTAAATTCTCAGGTGATTCCTATGTGAAGATGTCCGCCTAAACTAACTTAATATAACGTTCGAAAATGGCATCAGAATTACCAACTAAGACTATATTTTAAGTTAGATGCGTTCCCTTAACTTTTATTTAAGGTATTTAGCGCCTGTTTTAGGGAGGAAGGTAATATTTCAGGTCACAGGGTATCAAGATCTTGGTTGGTATTGTCTCAAAGGTATTATATCGTAAGGGCCTCGTAGGGTTATAACGCGGAGTTGGTAATAGTGGTGGAGGTATGTTGGGGGTCGTCTCGTTCATGATTCTTATTAGTTAATGGTCGTCTTGTCTCATGACCTTAGATAATGGGTCGTCTTGTTTCATGATCTTAGTTAATGGTCGTCTTGAGTCATGACTTTGTTAGGTAATGGTTCATGATTATGTTAAATTATGGCTATTTACGAACTCCCATGACTTTATTAGATAACTTTCTTTTAAGCTAATGTTAACGACACACTATTAATGGTGTTGAGGCGGCCGGTAGAGGGCAGCACCGTGACCTAGAATGACTCAGTTCAGCAGGTCACCCGACACACTGAGACAGGGAACAAGTCACTCACTCCTTCGCCGTGTCATCACAGGTAAAGCAATCTACCGTGGTCGCTGCCGCCTAGGACCGTGTTAGGGCTGCCAGGGGCGCCTATCTGATCCTGCACCACAACACATAGGGCGTCGCGGCGTTCCTACAGGGCCAATACGGACTCAACACAGGGGTAAATAAGGTTATGGTACAAAGACCTTACCGACGACCTGGCTAAGGATCTGACTGGTTCATTAATATCTAGACAATTTAGGTGGATCTCTCTCTCTCTCTCTCTCTCTCTCTCTCTCTCTCTCTCTCTCTCTCTCAAAATCGAAACCAATCCACATAAAAACTAAAAAAAAAGATACATTCAGACAGACAAACACACACACACAGACAAACAATTGAAAAGAGAAACAGACGATAAAAAAAGAATGTAGGATAATTGAGGGGGGAGAGAAGGGCACTGGTTTGGTTGATCACAGCAGAGAATAAGTGTAGTGGCAAATAATGAAGGTGAGATGGTGGAGGTGTGTTCTGATGAGTCATACACACACACACACACACACACACACACACACACACACACACACACAACAGGAGTAAACAAAAGACACGTAAACAATCACGGCTCACCTTCGCGCCTGCTTCAAGGGGGTTCCAGTAAACAACGATGGCATTGTGAGCGATCTCCTCTATGCAGCCGACAAGACCAACGCTGTTCTTAGTGTCTGTAAAAGTAAACAAACAAACAAAACATTAATCTGAGTTATAAGATCCTGGGGTAATTGGGAATAGGTATGTGAGATAATGGGGAATTGGGAGACAGGTGTGCAACAGGTAGGTGAGATAATGGGGAATTGGGAGACAGATATGCAACAGGTAGGTGAGATAATGGGGGAAGTGAGATGGAGAAAGATATAGGAGATAATGAGTCTGAATTATGAGAAATTATGAGTTATTTATGAAGTTGTGGGAGACACAACTTAAAAAATGAAAACAAAATCGGAATGGCAAAAGCAATGCACGAATTAGGTATAAGTATTAGTAGTAGTAGTAATAGTAGTAGATAAGGGCATACGGGGAGAGAATTCAGATCGTTGATCAAGGCAGCTTCACTCCTCTAGTGTTCACAACCACTGGTGGGATGGGACCAAGTGTAAGATGCTTCTATGCCAGACTCGAGGAGGTGCTATCCGAACAGAAGCAGCAGCCCAGAAGTTATGTTAAAGCCTGGATGAGATGTTGACTGTCCTCCTTTCTCCTTAGGTCGGCTTTGCTCTGCCTCAGGGGAACGAGAGCATCGGCCCCAAAGCTGACAACAGTTGCAGATATTGACTATGAGGCTACTGTCACTGAATGCAACATAAATCTGCGGTTCAACTAACTCAACACAGCTAGGGTAGCTACTTATGTATTAGGATATTTAATTTTAAGGTAATAAAATGGCGGCGAAGGTGTGGCTATTGAGGGAGGCTGGAGGCCATTGAAAAAAAAGTAGTAGTAGTAGTAGTAACAAAACACAATGGAATGACATAAAAAACACAGAATCCAAAGACGAAAATGACAGAATTAAGAAGAAAAAAAACCCTCAATCGAGTTCAATTAAGGTAAAAAAAATAATCAACATTACCCAACAAGAAAAAAATAATAATAATAATCAGATAAAAAGAGACGAAGAGAAAATACTGAATAATGATAACCCAACAGACGATGTGTGTGTGTGTGTGTGTGTGTGTGTGTGTGTGTGTGTGTGTGTGTGTGTGTGCGTGTGTGATCGTTTATAAGCCTCACTGGGTCAACATCATCATAAGATTGATAAATGCTGAGTCGAATGATACACAATATACACAAAGTAATAAGAGGAGAGAGAGAAAAAAGCGGTGACATACTAAGGAGAACAGAGAAGGTTAGATATAAGTACAGGAATTAGCCAGAGTACAAGATATTCCGAAATGCTTCATAAGTGCTACTGTCGACTGGGTGTGAGAGAGAGAGAGAGAGAGAGAGAGAGACGACTACTGTACGATCGCTTCATCACGCAACTGGCGGCAGCAGGCCCTCGCGAGCCCACCGGCCATTAACGTCCCTGCCAAATGTAAGAGTATCCATTAGTTTTTATTGAGGGGGCTAAGACTTGACCTCATCATCAATACGGAACTACCACAGGCTTCATACACTATATACTAATCCACACACACACACACACACACACACACAGTCAACAATATATGTAAAGTAACACATAACCAGAGGCAATAGACCAGACCAGTAGCCCAGAACGTTGATATTTCTAACAGAGATTATGTTACAACTTCACTCATGTGTGGCTACCTGTCAATCCACACAAGAGGTACGTGGGAGTGTGGTGATGTGGGCGGTGGTGTTGGTGTTGGTGTGGGTGGTGATGCCGTGAGTGGTGTGGGGTGTTGATGTGAGTGGTATAGGTATTAGTATAGGTGATGATACCCTGAGTGGTGTAGGTGGTGATGAATGGGTAGGTGAGAGATTGTGGTGGTGATGTGAAGGTGTTGACAGGTACCGGGTCATAACCTCCTGGATAACTACACAAAGACTATCTGTTATTGACATACGATAGACTATGCAAATTAATTAAATGTCTAAGCTCAGAAATTCACAGATCCAACCACACACATAGATATAAACCCACCTTCTTCAACTAACTAACTGACTGACTGACTGACTGATGGAACTCTCTCCCTCACAATCTTCCTCGACAAACACCTCATCACACAAACTAACACCAGAGGGTCTAGTACTCCTTCAAAAGTCCTTTAGTCCTGGGAAAACCTTGGTCATCTGATCCTTCTCTGAGTCTCGGTCTGCCGGCGCAAGTGTTCAGTTTCTGCCTCACTCGAAAGGTTTGGATTTCGCCTCGCAACGTAAGGAAGTCGATTTCCTTCAACAGTGAGAGAATCGTGTACATGGTCGCGGTCCTCAGGTGTCGCGGTGATGACACTAGTGGACGTGAATGTTATTGTTTTGTTTTGGTATTAATGTTGATACTACTACTATTACTACTTCTACTACTACTACTACTACTACTACTACTACTACTAAGTTACGTGTCTACCATGAATGTTTACATCCCCCTAAACCTCTAAATATTGATACATTTACCTAAAACAAATTGAAATTATTATCTTAATGTTTTTTTTTACCATTCGTCTTATGTTTATGGAAGAGGAGAGATACCAGCCGGTCACTGACGCTGTTGGTAATCCCCACAATGCTCCACCCCGCCTCCCACAATGCTCCACCCCCCCTCCTCCTCCTCCTCTTCCTCCCACAAGCAAGATACCTATCCTACCGAGCATTGAAATCACCAACAAATTCCCCTTAAAAAAAAACACAAAAAACTCCCCAATCTCCCCAAGAAACAAAAATCACACCTCGATTTTTTTTCTTCACCAATACGATTTAACACGAAGACAATATACAAATAAATCCGGGTTTAAAAGTTTCGAGGAGAATAAAATACTCTGAAAGGCATCCGTGGTTTAAAATGTCTCACAGCGTGGGAGTAAATTGGTGGCTCCGGGCGCTGGCAGGGTAATACTGCACTCCCTTGAGACACCCTCGCCTCGCTCCCTGCCTAGAAATGCCTCTTACCTTCAGGATTTTTATGTCTGTGTCTTGCTAATGGATTCTCTGTCTCCGGGGTTCTCATAAACTCTCTCTCTCTCTCTCTCTCTCTCTCTCTCTCTCTCTCTCTCTCTCTCTCTCTCTCTCTCTCTCTCTCTCTCTCTCTCTCTCTCTCTCTCTCCTGTATTTGTTTCTTGTTAATTTATTACTGTTGTTGTTCAGGATGTTTATACTGTGTTTAGATTGTTTTCTCTTTATCTAATGTTTATATTTTACCTGACCTAACCTAACCTAACTCCCCAGGTAAAGATAAGGTATTTAATCAACAGGTGAAATAAACCCGGGGAGATTTACTCATCATGTAATCCTAAAATCCACAATGATCATCACTTGTAGGAATATGATCTGTAATTATATTTTTGGTCAGTGATACATTCCCAGTAACAACACAGTCACCTGGTTCAAGATTTTCTTCATCAGTTATACATTACGCCTTGGCTGATGCCTAATTCATAGCTGACTATAACTTGATCTCCCTAGACTCTCATTCACAAACGCTTCCTGATGTGTATGTGCTTCTCTTTATCAGAACTAGTGAGTATATGAGATATTAAAGCTATTTTGGGGGGAAGGTTTACGGCAGGTAAGGTTCAGATGCGACTGGATGGCTGACGAGTAATCTTTACGTAACGCAATTCAGCACGATGGGATTTTTTTCTCCACTCGGTGATGTTTTATAAATTACAACTCTCGACAGTCACGAACCAGTTATGTCTACTAATAATTACAATGTCTCTCTCTCAACCCATAGACACGGTTAGAGTAAATGCGTGAGGTTGTAGGACACGCAGACGTTCCCTCTAGTATGTAATCTGTGGGCCGGACAGGGAGGGAAGGCCTGTGTGTGTGTGTGTGTGTGTGTGTGTGTGTGTGTGTGTGTGTGCGAGTAAACCTCTCCCATACTCAGCCAGGAGAAACCCAGACACCGGGGTTTTATTGATACCATCTCACACGCTCGCTAATGGCAGCAGCAGCGTGGCGAAAAACAGCGTGCCAGTTAACCTGCATCCTGAGAGAGCCGCGGGCCATGAAACGCAGAATGTATAGATGCCGAGTTACACCTACACCAGATCTTCACAATCCCATTTATAAAAGAACATCGAAATCCGTAAACTATAGATGGCTTATTTTAGTGATGTTATCCCCTTGTGGTAAGAGTGAAATAATGTTACAAAGTGGATTAAATTTTTTTTAATGAGAATTTTGTAACATACACATTTTTCTTACTGTATCTCTCACCATATTAATTCACGTTTGAAATAAGCCTTAAAAAACAGTACCTATTTATTTTCTCATTAATCAAATAGCATAAAATAAAGTAGGTGTTGAAACCATTAAAATTTATATCTTTTAAACCCATAATTTTTGCTAGAATTAAAAACTACAACAAAATTAAAACCTCAACAATTTAGTCCATTGGTTTGATAAATAAATCACTGGAAATTATGTCAGGGATAATTTCTCTTCTCTTCTCCATTAAAAACTCTGATCCTGTTTCAAGTTACTGAGTGAAGCTTCTTGTTAAGTTTCATGTCTTTCAATGGATCAAGTTTCATATAGAGTTTCATTTCGTGTTTTAATGAATCAGTTTACCTCGTTAGTTTCATTTCGTGTTTTAATGAATCAGTTTACCTCGTCAGTTTCATTTCGTGTTTTAATGAATCAGTTTACCTCGTTAGTTTCATTTCGTGTTTTAATGAATCAGTTTACCTCGTCAGTTTCATTTCGTGTTTTAATGAATCAGTTTACCTCGTCAGTTTCATTTCCTGTTTTAATGAGTCAAGTTTCTTATTAAGTTTCATTTCTTGTTTGTTTGTTTCATGACCTAAGTGACGCAAACCCTCCACTTTCTTCTTTTGCTTTACGGACTAATTACTGATATTTATTGATTTACGGACCTAGTTAGGCAAGTCCAGGTCCTTATTTCCATACTGTACCATGCTTTAAAGACCGAAATACGCACGTACATCAATTTGATATCCTGAATCACGAGCCAAAAATACGCACGCGCTCTTTTTTCAACCGTTCGTGGCGGCGTATCTCACCAAGGACGCTGAGGAGAGAA